TGGCACTGGGGATGGGAGAGTGGCACTGAGGACAGAAACGTGGCCCTGGGGGTGGGAACACGGCACTGTGGACAGGAACTTGGCACTGGGGACAGGAAAGTGACACTGGGGATGGGAGAGTGGCACTGTGGACAGGAACATGGCACTGGGGATGGGAATGTGGCACTGGGAATGGGAACATAGCACTTGGGAATTTGGCACTGGGAAGGGAACATGGCCCTGGGAATGAGAACATAGCACTTGAGATGGGAATGTGGCACTGGGGATGGGAACGTGGCACTGGGGATGGCAAAGTGGCACTGGGGACAGGAATGTGGCCCTGGGAATGGGAACATAGTACTTGGGACAGGAATGTGGCACCGGGACAAGACCATGGCAGTGGGGACAACAAAGTGATACTGGGGACAGGAATGTGCCCCTAGGAATGGGAATGTGGCAGTGGGACAAGAACATGGCACTGGGGATGGGAAGGTGGCACTGGGGACAGGAAAAAGGAATCAGAGAATTGCTGAGGTTGGAAAAGCTCTCTGGGATCATCGAGTCCAACCATGACCCCAGCACTGCCAAGGCCACCCCTAATCCATGTCCCCAAGTGCCACATCCAGCGTGGTTTGACCACTCCAGGGATGGTGACCCCAGCACTGCCCTGGGCAGCTGTGCCAGGGCCTGACCCCCCTTTCTGTGAAGAAATTTCTCCTGATCTCCACTCCAAACCTGCCCTGGAGCAGCCTGAGGCCTTTCCTCCTGTCCTGGGCCTTGGACTCAGGAGAAGAGCCCGACCCTCACCTGGCCACCCCCAGGTTCCTCTGGCAACCCTCAGGAAGTTGCCAGAGGAACCTGGGGGTGGAAGCATGGAGCTGGAGAAGGGATTGTGGTGCCTGGGGATGGGAACAGTCCTTGGAGACTGGGACACGATACCTGGAATTGGGAATGTGGCTCTGGAGACTGGAACACAACACCTGGGGATGGGAACACGGTGTTTGAGGATGGGAACACGGTGCTTGAGGATGGGAATGTGGCTCTGGAGAAGGAACCGTGGCTCTGGAGATGGAACCATGGCTCTGGAGATGGAACCATGGTATCTGGGAATGGGAATGGGAATGTGGCTCTGGAAAAGGAACCATGGTATCTGGGCACAGGAAAGTGGCTCTGGAGATGGAACTGTGGTATCTGGGAATGGGAATGTGGGTCTGGAGAAGGAATCCTGGTTCTTGAGGATGGGAACGTGGCTCTGGAGATGGAACCGTGGTATCTGGGAATGGGAATGTGGCTCTAGAGAAGGAATGATGGTGTTTGAGGATGGGAACGAGGTGCTGGAGACTGGAACACAGTGCTTGAGGATGGGAATGTGGCTCTGGAAATAGGACCATGGCTCTGGAGATGGAAAAGTGGCTCTGGAGAAGGAATCCTGGTTCTTGAGGATGGGAACATGGTGCTGGAGACTTAGACACTGCACCTGGGGATAGGAATGTGGCTCTGGAGATGGGAACAAGCTGCTGGAGAAAGAACCATGGTACCTGGGCATGGTAATGTTGTTGTGGAGGAGGAACCATGGCTCTTGAGGATGGGAACACTGTGCTGGAGACTGGAACACAGTGCCATGGGATGGAAACAGTGCTTGAGGACAGGAATGTGGCACTGGAGATGGAAACATGGTGCCTGGGGATGGGTGCTTGAGGATGGGAACATGGTGCTGGAGAAGGAACCATGGTACCTGGGGATGGGAACGTGGCTCTGGAGAAGGAATCCTGGTTCATGAGGATGGGAACATGGTGCTGGAGAAGGAACCATGGTACCTGGGGATGGGAACGTGGCTCTGGAGAAGGAATCCTGGTTCATGAGGATGGGAACATGGTGCTGGAGACCAGAACACATTCCCTGGGGATGTGAATGTAGCTCTGGAGACTGGAACACACTGCTGAAGACTGGAACACAGCATCTGAGGATCAGAATGTGCCACTGCAGATAGCAGCACGGTGCCTGGGGGCAGAAACGTGCCTGCGGAACGCGGTGCCGCCGGTGGGCAGGAACCGAGCCCCGGGGGACGCGGCCGAGCGGTGCCGGGACTCGAACCCGGGTCCTCGAGGGGGGCGGTGTGTATGGGGGGCGCTGCCGGCAGGGGGCGCTGCCGCGCGCGGGCTGGGGGGGGCGCGGCGCGCGCGCCTTTGTTGCCGTTGGCGCCTCTTCCTGCGC